ATTATAAACTGAGTATAAGCAAAATTTGAACTAAAACTATAAACTGAGTATAAGCAAAATTTGTACTAATATTTGCTTATACTCAGTTTATTCCTAAGTTTAACTTTATACCGAGTTTATTTGTAAGGCTGTAAAAGTTTTTCTATTTAAATGTTTAATGAAATCTACATATACAGGTAATAATTAGAGTGTCTAATGTCAAAAAATCCGTATTTATTTTGAAACAAAAACAGTTCGTTTGTCTGTTTGTTTTTAAAACGATTTTTCTTTGACTGCATGGATGGATTACTGAGGCTTGGCCTACCAAATTATAAATTGTCTGATAATGCAACGTGATAATATGTGATGGAAATATCGGATTTTGTTCCCTTATCTGACAATCATTAAGTTATCTGAGCCTCTATCAGCCAGTGGTGGGACAAGTCCTTGGGCTTTTCTATATATTCCGTGCAGAAACTATGGATAACTGATAGAAATTAAATAATTTTGGGTTTGATTGGGAACATTCTGTAGCGATTACTTTGCTTTTGTTTCCTATATATACTGTTTTTTGTAGATATTAATGAATTTTATATGCCTAAAATAGTGTGTAGGTTCGCCACCCCTGTATAATAATCATAATTGAGCTTAGAAGGTTGTTTAAATGTAAACCATGAGTATACATTGTCGAAAATATCGAAAAATCTATAGGAAACATGAATTAAAAAAAAATTCTTGTGCTAATCTCGACAATGGACACTCATTTTGTAATTATAAATGTAAGTCAGTAAGTTTAGTTCCTATTTTAAAGAATACATCACATTTTAAGTATGGATAATATTTTACAGCGTAAAAAAAGGTCTGTTTATCCAAACAGTATATTAAAACCCGCTATATACTTACTGTTTCAACCAATCAACATTTTTATAGAGGAAAGGTTCTTCAAGATGCGAAAATATCACCTGAAGTTTTAGCAACGCATCATTAGTGCCTCCAATAAAACTATAGGCGTTGATCACTTCGGTGGTCACTACTCGTCCCCCCTTATGAAAATAATACCATACATGACACTTGTATACATAATGTCATCTATTATACAAACGTAACACTAGATTCTTTCTATGCTTAGAGCGCACACATATAACTAAATTATCGCACAGTGGGATTATCGATTGTTTCGCAACACAACTGTTTGGTTGCACAACTAAATATCGAGAAGTGTGAGCACCGTATAAGCTAATAGGAATCTAAACGAGACAACAGTTGTGCGATAGTTTAGTCAAAGGTGTGCGCTCTCTTAGTTTCTATTATTAGAGACTGCGGTTCGTGTATGACGGATGTATACTTGCTGGCCCTTCAACTGGTTTCCATTATATCAAATGTGACTGCTTAACGATTCCCGCTGAAACAGTTCGTGTATTTCTCTTATATTTGTCTATTTCTTATTTTTACTGTGACCTGAATACTAATTTAAACTACTAATTTTATATTACCGTTGAATTTTACTGTATTGACACTTGTATACAATTGTAGACATTGTATACAAGTGTCCTTGTATACAAGTGTCCTTGAGACAAGTGTCAATGCAGTTGCAGTTCTGCGGATATATTTAAAGATAAATGTAAGATATGTAAATATTATTTGTAATTTGTAAATATTAAATTACGTCACGTGCCAAAATGTCTTTTTTATTGTCATATCGTTTGTTTTAGTTGTCACCATGTTTATTCATTTTTTTATTAATTAAACCTTAAACGCCGGATATTTTTTTTATTTTTCCTCCTCCCTCCTCCCTAAACACATTTCAACACCCATTTTCACAACTGGTAACATAAGAATTATCAATAAAAAATAACGAAAACACAAAAAAATAGTCACGAACTCGAGTCATGTAGGCATAAACTACAAACAAAGGGACATTCACAAGCGTCTCACATTAAGATCCATTAAGGAAGCACTGTATCAACTTCCTTAATAGAGATAAGTTAACAATAAGAACTCTATTTATATAAACGACTTTATTTTATTAAAATAATCAGTCTTAAACCGCACATCACAGCGTGAATCTGTCTGCTTTTTAAAAAAGCTTTTGCCTTCGCCCACAACCTATCTCTCGACATCCAGTTCTTTTAACTTTACCTAGTAGCTTAAAAATTACAGTTGAATTCCCTACTTTTTTCGTTTAATCATATTTTGAAGGCACTTTCAATGATATATCTTTAAATATAGAATTTACTGATGTTTGTTAGAGCTTGAAGAAGGCTACATCAATGCTTTATCCATCCATCCAAAGTTTACGTTTATAATATTCTTCTTCTTCTTCCTTAGCTCTACAGCCCTTTGTGGGCCTTGGCTTGGTCAAGCAATTTATAATATTAGTATGACAAAAAGAGTTACGCTTCCCTTACAAAAATTTGTCATGTAAAACTGCTGAACGGAAATTAATGAAATTTATAATTGATGTATTATCCTATACATCTACTAATGACACAAGCTACTAGTTTTGTTTTTTAATTCCACGCGAACGGGGTCGCGACCGGAAGCTAGTATTTTATATTTTATATGGGATAATAAAATTGTTTCGAAATCAAACAACAAATTCAAATTTTGTAATATTTATTTTGTACGGCAACCAATAAATCTTACAACATAGTGCCACAACACCGCTTGAGCGCAGCTGTCTCACTCGCACACACCGCGCCAGAGCGAGACGGCAATACGCATATATTTACAAATTGCATATTAGAAAAAACATAACCTAAAAAAAACTATTACGAACTAGAATTTAGCTAAGTCTTATTTTAATCTATAGGAAAGTCATATTTAAAAAAACTAATATTTACATAACAGTTGAAAAGGAATTAATTGTTCCCATATCCCCCCCCCCTAACTAAATGCGCGGAATTCTATTAAAATTACGCGCAATTTTTTTCTCGTATCACAAATAATTTTAGCCCGTTGCCTTGAACACTTTAACATCAGAGATATACACGAAAGAAAAA